GGGGCGTTTGTGTTTGTGCTCTCTGACTTTTCCATTCGCGTGTTGGCTCCTGTGGATTGCAATCACGGACAGAGGCGTCAACGTGAGACGCAAAATATTCGTTGTCTTTGGGCGAATCTTTTTCCAACGTAAAATTTATGTGCTTGATCTGTCGGCGGGGAGCCTTGCGGAAAGAAACACATTCTGGTGCATTTTTTTCCGACGCATGGTTTATGGTCGGGTTTATATATTATAAAATAAAAATGAACTCACCCTCAGCAATTTTCTCTGCCAATGCATCAGGCTTTCCCAGGAATTGACAGATTTTGGTGATTTCTTCTACAGGGCTCTGTCGAAATGATTTAGTGAAAAGTCATTAAAGTAATCTTTTAATTGTTATTTGGTCCCTCATTTTTATCGAGCACTTAGGCAAAAATTTATCTCAGGAAGAAAATGTTCAGTTTAGCTCCGTCTGAAAATTCTTCACTAAAAAGAGGCCTTGTTGTTTCTTCGAAGAAGTGTACCTTTATTTTTAGTATCCCGGGTGTTGATGATGCTTAATAGGGGTAGGGAGGTTTGAGAGGGGCAGGCGAGGTCCTATGATGCATAATATGTCAGATGGGAACAGATAGAAAATATTGAGAATATGGAAAGTCATAATGCAGCAAAAGTTGAAAACGTCATGCAGAATTTAAAAGCGACTCCCTATGTTATCCATCCATCCATTTATTCAGCCATCCATCTATCCATGCATACATCCATTTATCCGCCTATCTGTCTTCTCATTTACCTCCTTGAGTTTTTCGTACACCACTACCTGCACGGGCAGGTCCGGGTGCTCACGAATGAACTGCTCAGCATCAAGTACGTGCTTGAACCAGCTGCCTGGGGGGAACTGGCCCGACACAGACAGCTCAAACATATCCTCCCATGTCCCCCTAAAAATAGAAACACAATCAATTTTCTGTGAAAGTAAAGTACATTCCTTTGTATAATACAATTTGTATGTATGGAATAATTTAAAAAACGGTAGACTTGAAAAAAAATGGCATCAACAGAAAATTTATAATTGATAATAATATGACCCCAGGGTCAATTTTTGGCCGATATCTATCTCCATTCTTGGATAGCGAGAAGTAACGGTCGTGCACAGCCACCCAAAATTCTTAATGCGCACAACACCCACACAGAGACAATTAAAGAACCTTGAACATCCACTATCCAGTCCATACAAGTTCCTCGCCAGAGCCTAATCGGTCATTAGTGTATCTGCAGCACACATCTACTATACCATAGCAAGTTCTAGTGTTCACCCAAGTAATGAATATCATGTTCAGTGGTGGTAATCTAACTCGAACAATGCTCTATGGGCTGACCCAAACAACGATGACGTTTTGTGGAGTTTCGTAGTCTCTCTCTCTCTCTCTCTCTCTCTCTCTCTCTCTCTCTCTCTCTCTCTCTAAGTGGCGATTCGAACGATTGCTGGCAATGGCTAGGCCTACTCAAGATTACTGTGACAAGCCTGCCCATTGTTTTTTAACTTTCAAAAAACTATAGAATGCGCACAAAATATAGGTCCACAACTTACTGCCGAAAAGCTAGAAAGGCTAGTGCCCCCCCCCCTCTCTCTCTCTCTCTCTCTCTCTCTCTCTCTCTCTCTCTCTCTCTCTCTCTCTCTCTCTCTCTCTCTCTCTCTCGACCCCCCTCTCTTTCTCTCTCTGTATTTGATAGGTTGTGAAAACGCGCCCAACTTGTTTTCCACGACATGACGAGAAAAGGCGAATAGATTTTATTTCCACGACATGTCGTAAAAATACTGCTTGCCTTTTCAAAATATACCACGAAGAACTGAATAAAGACAATGCTCTGCCAATTTTCTTTCTGTCCAAGCTGACGAAGCAACTCATGCAGGTCATTAGTCCCAATTAATGATCATTCTGGTGTATATTAAGGAGGTAAAACCAGTAGAGCGGTTTCTAAAGTCTTTTTGAAGCCAAAGATAGAACTTCGTCAGAGCTCGTTTCAACCCTAAAAGAAGCTGATCGCCCAAACCTACTATGGGGCAGCTAAATGAACGGGAGAGTCTCGTGTACAGACTCGGTTGCGCCCAAAATACAACTGATGAAACATTGGACTCCTTGACATTTGCTTAATAAAATGACGTAAAATTAGAAATATACTCCAAACCATTTCCAAAAAAAAATGTTTAATGCATATGGCCTAAGTCAAAAGTGACATTGGTTTTCCCGTGTTATTTGGCCTAAGTCTGACACAGGCCAATTCTTCTCTCATTCATTTTAGCCTCAGCAAGTTTCTTTCCCTTAGTCTTGGATCTAACTGTCCATTTCAGTCAAATTCTTTTCAAAATGGCCTAAGTCATTCAGATTGGAAAAATGAAAAAAAAAGTATGGCTCAAGTCATTTTACAAATTAATGGCCTAAAATCAGTGACAACAGTCGCGATTAAATGGGGCTCAAGTCAATTTGCAAAACGGCCTAAGTCAGAGGCCACAGTCATCAAATGGCTTATCTCCAGAGGCGAAGCGTCTATATAATCAAATAATCACTGCTTCCCTTCCTAATTTTGAAACATTGTCGCAGTAAAATTCACCCATAAACGTAAACTTCATAAATTAAATGTAAAAAGACGTTCATAATCAACAATGAACAGTATGCCTAACATTCTAAACGGTTTCATTGCCACAGAAATAGCCTGTTCATCCCTCTTGGGCCACTCCATAAGCAGTCACAAGCTTTGATTAAGTAAGCTTAAAGTGAGACTGGAAGTGTCTACCAACAGAATTGAAGGGAACATGTGCATGGCAGTCAAAACTGTTTCATTGCCACATATACCCTGTTCACCCCTTTCGGGCCACAGTTATAATCAGTCTCAAGCACTGATTAGGTAAGCTAACTATTACACTGGTCGAGTCTACACCACAGATGTGAGGGGAACTAACTCCTAATAATCTCTCGACTGCTTCGAGTGCTTTTTTTTTTCCTCGAATTTTTACTGCCCTATAACTATAATCAGATCGTGACCTCGATTATGACACTGGCTCGTTGCCGCGAAAGGCTAGACAAAAAACAGCCAAATGTGAAATTTAAAAAATGATAATTGTCATGTTCTACCAAAGAGTTAGAGACTCCCTGGTAGATCTATAACAATTAGATCTAGTACTGACATCTCTGCTTCTTTGCTTTGTGTTTGTGTATTCACATCTAAAGTTAAATTTAATTTTAATTGGAATTGATATTTAATTAGATACTTTCCCGATTACTTTGGCGGTTGAACATACAATAATGAATTCCGGATTTGTTTTCATTCACAACTCTGAGTCGCCGCCTCGAGCAAGGTTCTTGTGTGATATCCCAAGGCCATATCTGGTCCAGTTTCACTTTGATTACCCTATCAAACAAGTCAGCCTTCGCCCCTGCTTATCTTAGTCACTTCATATCATTTTGGTTTTTATTGGAAAGTAACTTGATCTAATAGTACTAATGAGGGACGGTAAATTAATTAGCTGTGGAAATTTTGGCCTATCAAAATGCGTTTTTCCCTTACTGAAACAGTTTCTTTCATTATCTCCGAAGTGTAAGAAATGACTTAGGCCAAAAAGGTAGCACCAGCTGAATCTCGTTTTAAAGCACATTTGTTCAGGGCATATCAGACTGCAAGATATTTTTCGCTAACGCCGCAGGCTTTTCGACATTTTTTGCCCTCTCTACGAACACGCATCGACGTTCTCAGACGCGTTTCTTCTCTTTGAAAGGATAAATCCAGGTCTTTCTTAAAGAAATTCAATCTGAGCGCTGGGACGATGTAGTCTCTTGAATGTATTAAGGAGGGACACATTTCTCAGCTTTTTGCAATTTTTAAAACAAAGTTTTCACGCATGTTGGATCCTCCAAAACAGAAGTACAACGCCCATAGAAGAACAACAAGCTCTAGACAGTTTTTAAAGCAACCTTCCAGGAAAACAAAAGCAGTATAAGTATACGTGTTCCATCAACAAATAAGACTACTGAGGAACAAGCTTCCAAGAGACACAGACATCACTACAACAACAAAATTGCTGCAAATGAGGCCTATGGCGTAATAGTTAATAAACTCTTGACCGTTTCTTGAAGCAAAAAAAAACAATCCAATACACTATCAATCGTCGATGCCTCCAAATCCCAGGACTATCAAAAGTCGTTCCCTACAGTTCTTTTGGTTCGTATAGCATAACGCTACTCTGTTTGGTATAAATTCAAGTTACAAATAGAATTTAAAATATTATATATTGCAATTAAACATTCAAGTCTTCTCAGTGTCGTACAATTCAGGGCCTTTATACAACTCTGACGGACTACAAACTTGATACAACATTTAGAGAAGTATGCAAAATCCTAGAAATCGCACTGACGTTAAGTCGATCCACAAGGACATCATTGACAGCATCCTCAACTTCGTCAACAGAATAATGGACACCTTTGCCAGAGCAAAATAAAGAACGAAGGGTTGACTTCTTCTTCAAGTAAATTTTCTCCACACAAGTAGGATGAAGAATACATCTCGTTTACCATGCCTTGACTATCTTCAATCTGCTTTAAGACAATTGTGCACGCCCACTTTTTAGACTCACGAGCCGCCCCTGGTATTTTATATATATATATATAAATATATATATATATATATATATTCTGTCATTCCAAAAGGGGGGACCATTTCTCGTTCAAGCACAGCAGAATTGTAAATGGGCTGATTCATCATGCCACGCTCATAACTGTGCCTGATCTGCAACATGAAACTGCTGCTTTTTATTTCCTAATCCTTATAACTATTGTCATTTTCCTATACTTCTTTTATACGTTTGTCACACTCTTGTGACCTGATATTTCCGGGGAGCCTTGATAGTCGAAGCAGACCTTGTGCTGTTGAAGTTAGAGAGGTGAGCAGAGTAAATCTGATTCCCTGCAAGGACTTCTCTGTTGACACCCACCCCTTGGCACTCATATGACCTTATGCAGTTGCGAGCGCCGTAAAACCCTCTACTAAAAAAAAATTTAAATACTCTGTCACATTTTTAAGTATAAACATTTTGAAGCTCACTTTAAAAAATCTATGCAATCAATTACTACTTTCAAATTCACTTACTGATTACGTGATATACCTGTCACTGGTGAGTTGTTTTCTGATTTCTGAATGCGCGAGCGGTTTTGTTACTGCGTGTGTGTTACATGTTTTGTGTGTGTGGGTGGGGGGGGGTAAAATTACTCATGACACGACAAGAAGTACACGTCAAAGCCTTGTCCTCTTTTTAACAAATTCGCCAGAGATAAAAATTGTGTTGTCTACGTTTCATAATGCCCCTCCTAAGAGAAAATGTGCGAAATCAGCTTGTTGGAATGATCCGCGGGGGTACCTCGGTATCCACTGTTGTGAGACATTTTGATGTAACAAGAAGAACAGTGTAGTAACAATGAATCGTGAGAGAACAACAAAATCAGAAAAGCATCGACACCATCGATTTGGGAGAAGAAAATGTATTCCAAGAGAGGAATTTTTAGACACGTGTTGCATCAACGGAATCGTTTCAAAAAAGGCAAGACAACCCAGAGATGAGTTGAACAACATGTAACAACACCAGCCTCAGACACTTCCTTGACTTACAGCATTGCATGAAGAGTGGAACAACATCCCTCAAGGCAGTGCAGCGATTTATTGAATCCATGTGGCGACAATGTCAGACCGTCATCAATGCAAGAGGACATCATACGCGCTACTGACCGTGTTACTTTTGTAGACCACCCCTACAGTCTACACTCTTGTAAGTTGGAAATAAACCTGGGGTGTTTTTTTCGTATGTTTGTTCTTAGTTTGTTTTGTTTTTCGTTTTCAAAATAGATCGAATTAGTGTGAAATTTTTAAGAATATTGGCTTATTGTGAAACAAGCTAGTTTCATTTTACGACAGTGTATAGTTAAAATGTGACAGAGTATATCTATCTCTCGATAGATAGATAGATAGAGAGAGAGAGAGAGAGAGAGAGAGAGAAAGAGAGAGAGAGAGAGAGAGAGAGGGAGGGAGAGAGAGAGAGAGAGAGTGAGGGAGGGAGGGAAGGAGGGAGAAAAAGAGATAGATAGATAGACAGACAGACAGACAGACAGACAGACAGACAGACAGACAGACAGACAGACAGATAGATAGATAGATAGATAGATAGATAGATAGATAGATAGACAGTGCAATCCAAGAATGGAGATGTCGGCCGAAAAATGACACTGGGGTCATATTAATTGTAGATTATTCAATTGATGCCATTTTCTTCACGTCTACCGTTTCTTTATTTCATTCATACGAATTGTACTAATTCCACCCATAAAGTTGATTCATCAATTTCCAAAGGATTAAAATACGAGAAGTAACTCATTTTGTCACTAAAGTTTTGTTTCAAATTAGGGTTTAGCCGGCAAAGAATTTTCTGTCTTGGTTGGACAGGTCAAAACCCTCCAAAGAAAAGGAATTAAAATTTCCACTTCTCTTTCCGGGTTGAGCAGGTTTACGTTTTATAGAGATCATTATAAGCGGGTTTATTAATTAAGGCAGGGAGATTCCGTCTTAGACAGGTGTCCCTCAAGACAGGTTCGACTGTGTATACAGTGTTTAAATAAAGGACACAAAAAGAACACTCACTTGAACTTGTACGTATCTTTGAGTCCCGTAAAGAAACTGAAAGCCGACACCATGACGTCTTTGGGGTTCCGTGCGATATACACCACTCGGGGTTTTATTGCCAGAACCTGAAAGGAGAAGCTTTGTTTGCTATGTTTTTAAATACATGTACTCTGGTTACTTTGGTCTTACGTCTGTGCTTAGACGTATATCAGTGTCTTCTCAGTAACGTGCTCCATGTAGTGAACATTTAGAAATCCATTCATGCACTACCGACTACTGTTGAATTTTGCGGTATTTAGTTTCAAAATTCTCAGGGACTCGTCCGACCTCAAGAAAGTGGCCATGTGTTCACGCTCCATTTCGCCCACGACTTCGTGCACGGTCTTTCAGATACTTGCTGTTGAAGCCAGAGATCTAAGTGGTTCGATTCTAGCAAAACAAGCATGGACAGTGGGTGGAATCAATGAAAATGTTCAATGGATTTCTAATACTTTGTGGTAAGGAGATAAATTATGAAGGGTATTCTATCTGAGAATATGTGCATCTTGTGGGTGGGGCTTGCAGTTAAAGCACTACCTGGACTTCTTCATCAAAAAAGTTACTTCTCAAACTAAATTTAAAACAAAACATTCAACAAATATTTTAAAGGACCAAAACATAATATTCCGACAAAAAACGAAACGCCACGAACACCTTAACGAAACTTCTGAGGCTTAACTACTCGAAAATTGATCTGATAGGTCTGGGTGTCTACTATTCCAGTTTATTGCGACTATAGAGCTCCATCCTACCAGGCGCTCCTTCCGTTTGTAAGAATGAAATTTTATTGGTTTGTCCCTTGAACCCTGGCGCTTACGTTCCAAAAGACTGAATATAACTGGCATACTGCCTTTGAACGGCTCAAGGCCGAGACAAAAAAAAACCGATGGTTCTATTAGGCTCTGGGGCTGAAGCCGCATCGGTCCACATCCATCCGCGGTGTGACGTGCTTACTCATGACGCCTTAACTGCACACCCCTTACGGCTCCAGATCGAAGCGTTAATTGAGCTCGCCTCTCTGTGTGTACACTTGAATGAAATTTTGAGCGTATTAACAACTAGTGATGTCTTGCGTATTGTGTACACCTATGCTCTATGTGTGAAGATCGGACGATTGATGAAATGACCACATTTGTATTATATCTGTGAGTTTATATGATAAACTTGAATTCTTTCAGCAATGCATCGTGTAGAATGCTTATAATCAATACATTGGAAATAAGCTTTAATTGCTCACTGTTAATTTAGAGACTAGGACCATATCAACCAGCTGAATGTTCGCATGTTGTGGTGGATGGAAAGCAAAAGAGATGTTTAAATCATGAATGGTTCGTCATGAAAGATGCGCAGTTAAACCAAAAAGTCATCGGCAAATTTGCTCTTGTTAAAAAAAACATGGAAAGTTACATACCATGTGGAAAGGTGAGCAAAGAAACGTAAAATTTAGTTTGCGCTAGTATTTTGCGCTAGGATATGCTGCATGAGTGGCCAGTGCAGTGCTTTAACACGATGACCGGGTGAATACATTTTCAAGTTTCTTTTGAACGCCACGGTGTGTTTGTGTGTGTGGGGGGGGGTGTGTGGGGGTGTGTGATTGTGTGTGTATGTGTTTGTGTGTGTTTGTGTGTGTGTGTGTGTGTGTGTGTGTGTGTGTGTGTGTGTGTGTGTGTGTGTGTGTGTGTGTGTGTGTGAAAGCATGTTTCACTGTCTTTTCAGACATTATGCATCCTTTGTAATCTGAGTGATTTCAATGTTTAGTCACGGCAAGTCCCACCCTCTTTACAACCTAAACGACGCCACTGGGGTGCATTAAATTAAATATTGAAATATTATATACCACAACTCTAAGTCCAAAACTAGTTTCAAAACAGGACAACGCTTTGATCTTGCCAGTCTAAACATGTAGTCGACCAACTAACCTGCAATGGAAATCTGTCAAAAGGTAAGTGATACTGTAAAACTCGGGGAGAAGGCAGTTTGGGAATATCATTTTTTAACTCTTCAGAAGAGATGAACTCGGGGGTCACATTATACATCCTGGTCTTCTCGATGTCCGTGCTCTGACGAAGTATCATGTGGATTATCTCAAACGTCCAATGGCTTCCTGCAGTGAGTAAATGGCGCGACATAAGATCAGTTGACATAATGCTGGACTACTGAGTGGATGGCTGTGGTACGAATTACTAACAGTGCATCCTGAACTCGGGTTGTTTTGACAAGTTTTAAAGGTTTTATGGGCCAATTTATTTTGCTCTGTCCTATTGGAAAAAGATGCTAAAATTTAAATGTCCCCATCCTAAATAACCAAAAAGTGTTGAAAGGGGCATTAAACCGTTACAGTTTCACACATTTCGCATTTCGGGGCGACTAGAAATGCCGCGTAAAGTATAGTATAACTACCATGTTTTGTGTACATCGACTATCACAGCTTGCTGTTTTCTGTTCCTGTAAAACACAGCATTAACTCTTCTGTGAGCTCCGACGGTGACCTTGGGTCTGCGCGCTAAGTAAAGATTGTCTGCATGAGAGGACGGAGGGACCAAGCTTGCCTTTTCCAAATTACCCATAATTGTGTAATTCGCAATAAATTTCTTCGCCTCATGGTTCATTCCCATTCAGCCTCTCAATCCTGTATAGAATAAACAGCGACATACCGTGAAAGGATTATGCAGCTATCAATGATATTATTATTATTATTATTTCTCCCTCACATGGGGCACGGTGTATTATGCAAAAGCGCCTTTCATATGTCTTGTAGATTATGACACCACACACGTTTAACTCACACAGCTGCACTTTGGGCCTACAGGCGACCGTTAGGGAGAAACCACATAAGACTGTTTAGTTATAGGAAAGTGTAACTACAACCACTTCACACCTCTGTCAACATAGACAAGATTATTCAGAAGACAAGCAGCTTCGACCCTGCCTAACGAGAGGGATATACAATGTACCCGGGGACAGTGAGTTTTGGTCACTCGATAGAAAAAAAAATGACTTCATGGACTTCTAACTAGCGGCTTCTGTGGACAATAGCAAAGAGCCTTATTATTACCTTTACGCCACAGAAACTGATTGTGTTGGTACATAGGCAGGTAAGTAGGAAGGTTGGAAGGTAGGTTGGTAGGTAGGTAGGTATGCGTGTATGTGATGGGTGTTTGTGTACATGTATGTACATGTGTGTGTGTGTGTTTTTGTATCTGTGAAAGTACGATTGTAAGTATCTACTTATCTGTTTATGTAGGTACGTAGGTACAGGGTCTCTAAAAAAATGGACCCATTTAAAGGGCGACAACACGGTCACATTTCTACCAATTTCAACATTTCAGGAAAGAAAAATTCAAGCAAAGAGACGTCAAATTTTGTAATTTAAAGAAAATCAATCTGCACTTCAAGATACATCAAACTTTAAAAGTTTTTAACCAAAATTGGGCGAAACGCAAAACTTTACTTCTTAAAAGCATTCAGTATAACATAAACATGTGTATAGCATAAACACACACACACACACACACACACACACACACACACACACACACACACACAAGGGGGCTCTCGTGGCCTAGAGGTTAAGGTGTTGGCCTCTCACTCAAAAGGTCCCGGGTTCGAATCCGGGTAGCGACCGAAAAATTTTCTTCTCTAAATTTGTCTCCTTTCACCTCATTTCCTGCTCTCTAGCAATGTTCTGTCGTCTGCTTTCGTCTCCACTTTCTGCCCTCACCCCGTCACCTCCTTTGCCCCTTCCTCTGGGCTCCTGATTCTTTCTGCAGCCTTTCTACTACTACTCCTTCGCTTCTTCTTACTGCAGTCTTTCAGCCACACCCCTGATCTTCTGGTAGGAAAGATCTACACCTAGCCTTCTCGGACAAGGGCGAAAAATCTTGGAGTTGCGCACGTTAAAGATCCCTTGGTGGTCTAAAATCGATAAGAGTAGGCTTCGCCGCCACCCGGGCAAAATTCAAAATTTTCTACCAACTGAAAATATTATGTGTGTCCCGCGCGCTCATATGACCTATGCAGTTGCGAGCGCCTTAAAACACCTACCGTGTGTGTGTGTGTGTGTGTGTGTGTGTGTGTGTGTGTGTGTGTGTGTGTGTTCTGAAAATGCAGTCGTGTGCTGGGTTTTCAGGTGTTGAGCTCTATTCAGTGCGTATTGTAGACTTGTGTACGTTTGAGTGTAAGTGATGATATGTTTGCCTCGGCCTGAAGGCTTTCCACTGGAGAAGTGCAGAAAGCCACCAGGGCGAGGCAAGGTACTTGGTTTTGTACTGGGTCTAGCATTTTAGAACGTGGGGTTTTGCCGACCCATAGACAGGACAGCCATAAGTCAAGCCTGGATCGGACATGGGAAGTGTATAGGTGGAGAAGGGGAGAAGGTGTTCTGAGGCCCCGCCCCACTCCAGATGCGATAAAAAAACAATTTTAAGCGTTTGGGTTAAATTCTTTCTGGCACCTCACACGACGATCTTTTATTTGTGGGCTGAATGTAAGTTTCTTGTCAAAAATAATTCCGAAGATACGAGCCTGGCTCTGAACGGGAATCCTTTCCCCGTAGAGTGTCAATCCGGCTGCAGTACACGTCTGCTTGATCGGCAGGGGTGTACTCAACCGTTTTTGACGGGGTAAACTTGAAACCTTTTTTATTTGCCCACTTTTCAAATTTTGCAGCTGCCTTTCCATATAGCGTAGTTAATGATTTTTGGAACGGCAGCATATCAGGAAGTCATCAACATATAACGAGTCGTCTATTGAAGGGTCTGAACGATGGAAATGGAATCTATTTTAATTGTAAAGAAGACAGGGGATGCTTCCCTAGGGAACACCTTTCTCCTGTTGGTGGGAATCTGAAAGGGAGAATCCGACACGAACCTAGAAGGAACGGTTCTTTAAGAAATTGCTAATGAAGGCATGGAGGTGATCGCGTACGCCGAGAGCATGCAGGTCTCTAAGAATGCAGAACTTCCAGGTAGTGTCAAAGGCTTTTTCTTGTTAAAAAAGATGGCGATCGTATGGCCTCCTTCTGCAAACGTCTCGCGTATAAAGGTCTCCAGGCGAACCAGGTGATCCAGAGAAGATCGAATTTTCCTGAATCCGTACTGGAGACCGCTCGGCGAGCCCGTCGTCCTCAGAAACCACATGAGTCGCCTGTGAATCATTTTTTCTATACGTTTGCACAGACAGCTCGTTGGTGCTACTGGTCTGTAGTTGGATGGGTGTGTGGGGTCTTTGTTTGCTTTGGGTATTAAATAGGAATGACAGTGGCGAGTTGCCAAGACTCCGGAAAGGAGTGCAACTGCAACATGTCGTTATATATGTCTAGTAAACGTGTGAGTGTTTAAATGTCTAATTATCTGGTAGTGGATGTCATCCGGACCCTGGCTGTATTGCTCAGGTCTGAGATGCATAATGTAAAGTCGTCTAGTGTGAAGTCTGAGTTGTAGGTTTCTGTGTTGTTTAAGTGGAAGTTTGGGTGTTGCTGTTCTCTGATAGTTTTGATGTTTTGGAAGGTGGTGTTGTAGTTTGCTTTGGATGACTTTTTTTGGAGAGAGATGTAGCTATTGTGATTGTGTGACATACCAGTGTTTCTTCTGTGGTGCCACCCGGCCTCTGAACATGCCGGATGGTGTCTGAGCGTCTACTCAAATTGTTTTAAGCTATTTTGAAAACTTTGTTGAGTAGTTCGACTTTTTATTTTGGAAATGTATTTTCAGAAGGATGGCCTTTTGTAAGTGTCTCAGCTCGAGCTTTTAACTAATTTATTATGTTTTCTGTAGTGTTGTTGTTGACAGCTCTTCGATGTACTGCCTTCTTTCTCTTGACTGCATCATCACACTCCCCAGAGAACCAAATCTTGCTCTCCACGAGAGTGTACGAGACCCTCCCGTCAAGATTGACCCAGGAACTGAAGGGGTTTCACCTCCCAACCGATTAAGTGGCATAGGCCGCGCCACCCTCCCGTCTAAGAGGAAAACCTGGGCCGAGGGGGTGTGTTTGTGAGAGACAGTCCGCAGACTGATCTCACCTCAACCGTCCGGTACCCGGTTTCCTTCTGCACAGGTCGCACCTCACGGTCAACAAGGTGTCCACTCTGTGGAATGGATGACCTCTCTTTTTGCTGCCCAGCGGCGGAAGAAGAGTTAGAAGAAGAAAGGAAGAAATGAAGGAGAAGAGGAAGATACACCAATATAAATGTCACACATTGATCCCAGAGGGTTGGGGTCCGTGTGCGACACTTTGTCATTACTTACTTACTACCCGTTACGCCATCTGGCGTTTAGGGCAGCAGCAAAGGATCTCCAGCTCTGTCTGTTTTGGGTCATCTTGGTCAACGTCCCCCACGAATGAAGGGCAGTCTTTACAATAGAGTCTGGTTCTCTTCTTAGAACATGCTCTATCCATCTCCATATTCTCATTGTTATTGCGGTGGTCATGTCCTCTTGCCTACATTTCCGTAAAAGATATGCGTTGGAAATCTTGTCGGGCTAGAAGATTCGGAGGATTTGGCGTAAGGTGGTTGTATGAAAAGAAGATAGCTTGGCACGATCATGATCAGCCATCCTCCAGCATTCAGATCCATATAGGAGTAAATCAAAATCAACGAAGTTTACGTAAAGTTGTCTCTGCCATTCCGTGCACTGTTCTGTTATGTTGCAGACGGCAACTGTCTGATCTGTGCATCTTCTTTCTTTGCGGAATCCTGACTTTTCTTCGTCACTGGAGGGGTTTTACCAGTGGGTCTATTTATAGTCTCCCAAGTGGGAGGAGGGGGGGAGGAACTTTGTTCCCAAATACACTGCGTCGCCTCGGAACCAATTTGTCCAACGTGTGCATGCATGAGTATAGAGCGCACTTTGGACGGCTGCTGGTTGATTTTTCTTTTAGAATTTGCAAAGTTTTGCGTTTCACACAATTTGTGTTGAAATTTTTAAACTTAGTATTTGTTTAACGTGTGGGTTGATTTTGTTCATGCTGACAAATGTGGGGTCTTCCTGGTTGAATTTGTTTTGGTTTGTTATTTTTTTTTGCTCTAAGTTTTGTTGAAGTCGGTCCAAATACATTATGACCTTGTGATTGCTTTATAATGGGTCCTCTTTTTTTAGA